CACTTTAATTAATTTAAGCTATATACAATCAAAATCTTACTATTTTTGTTTACAAATAAACTGATGATTGCTTCATTGTTGTTCTTATTTACGTTGATGATTTATTGATTAAAGGAACTCATATGAGTGAAGTTTCTCATTTGAAACAAGTTATGGATACACGACTCAACATTTAGGATCTAGGAAATGTCAAATATTTCCTTGGATTCGAAGTTGCTCGCTCTTCAAAAGGAATAACTTTATGCCAAAGGAAATACAACTTAGACATTCTCCAAGAAGTGGTCTTACTTGGTTCCAAACACGCTCCTACTTCTATGGATCCCAATCATTGAACTACTTCTGATACTAACACCCCTGATTCTAATCCCACTTTTTTCAGAAGTCTTATTTGTAAATTATTATACTTAACTCATACGCGCATTTATTTTTCTGTATGCAGGTTAAGTTAATATTTATCAAAACCAAATGTCATTCACCTTCAGGAAGCTTTCCGAATACTCAGATATATCAAGGTTGATCCATCCACAAGGCTTGATGTTTAAAGCTGACTCCTCACACCAGCTAACTGGTTTTACAAATTCAGTTTGGAGCTCGTGCACATGCACTAGACGCTTAACAATAGGTTTTTGTTTTTACTCAGGCAACTCTTTCATCTACTAGAAAAGTAAAAAATAAAACGTTGTCTCTTGTTCCTCTTTGAAAGTTGACTACTGTGCTCTAGAAAACACAAAATATGAAGCTCAATAACTTATATACTTGATTCAAGACATGATAAAATCTCACACCAACCCCGGTCAAAATTTACCATGAAAACCAATCTGACATCCATATTGCGAACAACCCAGTTTTCCATGAGCGTACAAAACACATAAAAATGTATTTCCATATTGTTCGTGACAAAGTTCAAGACAACATCGTCCATCTTCTTCCTATTAAGACAAACCAATAAGTGGCTGACTTATTTACTAAACTATTGCATAATGGTCACTTTCACAATCTTTCCAACAAACTAAGATTGTACAATATACACCCCAGTTTGAGGGGGATGTTAAACAAATTTAACTAGTGTTTATTTCATGTATTCTTTTTTTCTTTTTAGATTTGTCTAGGCCTAACTATCCAATCCGTTTTTAGAGGATTTTTTTTTCACTCTATATTTTTCTAGCGCACCATGCGAAGTTACATAAATGCCTCTTGAAACCGGAAATACATTTCCGGGATGCACTAAGATTTGATAAAATGTTGGCTTAAACCAGAATTTAATTTTTGGTATGTACCCAGACTTATATTTCCGATATTGTGCTACACAGAGAGCAGAAAAAAAACCTTGAATAATACCAATTTCATAAATTAGAAATTTAATTCATATCATAACATAGATAATACATTAAGGACTGAAACATACATCAAACATTACACTTTAACGTACAAGTGGACGTTGCAACATCTTGATAATATCATCTACCGATCTCGAAACAGTCACATCTAGCTCGATAGGAACTTTCACTTCAAAATGGGTAAAAGTATGCCACATATCCCGTATATCAGCGTCGTTCTTCAGCTCACGGTTGATGAACTCAAGCTTCCAATCTTTATCAATGAATGGCGAGCGATACTCGATCTTCACAACTTTGCGATTATCGTCATAAGGTAGCAGGTCCTGCAAAATTGTCTTATAGATCTTCAAGAGGGGTGTACTCGGTGAACTTAAATTCTCGTGATGGTGTATTGCCTGTAAAGTTGACATTTCCAACATATCATTTGATGTTCATTCTGGTTTTTAGTGTTTTGGTATAAACTAATATGTCAAGTGAGAATATCTATAGTAGTTGAAGACAAACATGGACCTTTCAAATCCTATCATGTAACAGAGTGTAAACCGAAAATTTATTTATGATTCCACCTAAATATGTACCAGAAACATATTTCTGGTAAGTTCCCTGGGACTGAAAACCAGAATAGAAACATAAACAGAACCATACATATAAACTTAAACAAAACCCCACGTATTGAAAGATTATATTTTTGGTCAAACTATAAAATGACTATATTCCACAGCATAATACATTGACAAAATGACATATACAGTAAAGTGATACCTAACTACTTAAATGATCTGAAATAATTATCGTCGAACAAATCCACAGGTGCTACCCCTTTTGAATTTTCTCTATTTTTTCTATTTCAATTTTGTTCAACTTGCCGTAGTCTTGCATCCTTTCAATAAATTGGTCCGACCAAATCTTCAAAGGGATTGTGTAATGATTCACCCACTCCAATGATGTAAGTGGTATTGGGAATCCCAAGTTCAAATATACTTGAACAGAATGCCGCAGATTTGAAACCCACCCAACACAAATAATACGGTCATTGGGATTTGGTGGTGGAGCAATGCGCAATGGGAATTATTTTCCCGAGAAACTGTATCTTGTAAGATTAATACACATCCTCTCATATGCACTTGTTATGAGATGACCCATTTTAGGGAAGCGCATCCATTTTATGTTCAGGTGCATGTCCACTAACGCAAGGTACTAGCGCGTCATAAATCTCTTCAACTTTCTCTTTAGTCCGGAGCACCCATTTGTATAATTCTCTATTTCTCCTCAACTCTCTGATAAGAGTATCACGAACAAGTTAGTGATCATCTTCCCTATTACCCAGCAAACCAGAAACAACCCGAAAATCACAGTTATTGTCACCATCGACATTGACGATTCATTCAATGTACTTGTGCTTAAAAACCGGCATCTCCTCGATGAATGGTATTTTTGGTGGAGTCGGTATAGGAAGTGGTTTGCTAATGTAGGCTCCATTGACAACACTTTTTTTAGACTTTGGAGTAGGTGAATTAGGAAAAACTTTGTCAACGTGTTCAAAATATGAAGGTCTCCTTATTGTTGAATTATCGTCTGGTGTTGGTTTCACCTTCTTAGGTGCCCCTTTAGTTTTTACCAGTTGAGAGGGTGGTTTCAAGTCTGTGGTCTCCGGGAATGCAATCTTCCTCAGTTGCTCTTTGATGTGGAGTTTGGTGGACTCACCGACTTTCAAAAATCTTGTATCGCTTCCCACTCAGTCAAGATTGAGATACTTGATTTATCGTCTTTCATTTTACCGTCATCTTCAAAATTGAGTCTCTTCCAATGATTGGAGACCTCGTCCATACATATCAGGCAATCAACTTTCATCTTCTGAGATATGACATAAGCATAGGGGATTCCATATGTTTTCACAATTGTGTAACCATACTTTGAGTTTTCAGAACCTATATTAGAAGCTCGTTTGGCTTTGTGAAAATGTAATTCAAAGCTGACTGAGAGATGTTACCAACCAACTGAGAAAATAGGGTGTTGTCTTTAAACCTGTGTTCCAACACCGTGATACTACGACCATATGTTATTTGTATCTCATTATGCTAGTTTAGTATAATATGGTTCACATAATCCTATTCCGTAATCAAATCACCCTTGCTATTTCCCAGCCAATTCTCTGGACATGCACGAGTAGACTCAACTTGGTTTGTTATTGTATTTCCGAGGTACATAACCTGATTAGTCCAAGCACAAACAATCTTTTCCTTTACCTGATCCAATATTGTAGTTTCAACATATTTCAATAGATCACGATTGCTCACACAAACCTTCCTGAAATGTAAAACAGCATCAGCGTATAACTCTTTTGTAGATGTATTTATCATAACATTCCATGCATCCATAATTTTCTCCATAATAACGTCCACCTTGACCAGTTTTCCATTTTCACTTGCAATCTGTTTTGTTCCTACCGTGGGTTTAACCCGACTTCTCACATTTTTAGTAATGTGGTACCTACAAACGAGTGCACAAGAAGTGAGAAATATCGTTGCAATCAAATTCCTTAATGTTGTATCTCAGTCAATAATAATGACTTTCAACATTTCTTCTTGGTCCTTCAACATTGACCGACAAACCTCTAAAGCCCATGCAAAATTATCCTCTTTTCCGCACTCTAGAAATGCAAAACCAATCGATTATGTCTTCTTAGTCGACGTAACACCAATAATTTCCAACAATGGAAGTATGTACTTATTGGTCTTATACGTTGAATCGATTATGAGCAAGGTGGAAATGTATTAAACAATTTAATGGAATCATGATGAGTCCAATAAATATCTCTTACTGTTACCCCATTCTCACATCTTCGGTGCATACAAACGCAATTGTTTTCATCTAGAAGTTTCAAGAGGTGTTGCATTTCGGTTCGATCCCCCCTAAGTGCTCATTTGGATAAATAACGCCTATTGTGCACTTGCTTGATGTTTCGAGAGGTACACTTTCTGATAATATATAAAATGACAAGGTGACAAAAAATTCAATCTTCATGTTACATAAATCGGAAATACAATACCGGTTGTAACCGGAACTATATTTCCAATTCTATTGTTGCCTTTTAAATAGAGTGAAACCGTATTTACTCTGTTTGTGTCCGGTGTATGATACACATTAAAAAAATACTTTCGATTTCAAAAGACATTTTAGAAAATATGTAAAAAAATTCTTTTTTACTATAGAGTGTAAAAAGAAATTCTCATGGGTTAGTTTCTTTTTGAGTTTAACAGGTCTAATATCCTGTATATCTATATTGGGCCTAGCCCCTTTGAATTTTCAATGAAATTGTTGATCACCATTGAGCATCAACTCACATTGAGCAAAATAAATGATCTTTATTTTTATATTCGAAAACAAAGTGATATCGTTAATAAATATTTGAAAACGGTACTAATAAATAGAGTACATGTACATATTATATTTATAGAAAAAGAACAAGTACTTAGACAAGAGAGAGTATTAGAGCGAATGAAAGCACATGAACAGTATCAGTCCTTCCTATTCGCGCGCAAAATCTCACTTCCATCCAACGGTTGAGATCCAGTCTTCCACAAGTTCCTCCAACTATATAACCACCCTACCCTACATTCCCTTCTTCCTCGCTCCCATTCACATCTCACAAATCACACAACAATGGAGAAGGAAAGAGACACTCAGGTTTACATGGCCAAGCTTTCCGAACAGGCCGAGCGATACGAAGGTTTCATTGAAATCATGATCGCAATGGATCCAATTATTTTTTAGAGAATTAGAATTTTTGTTGATAATAGTTGATTCTATATGTAGATCATCCCAAAACATTTTGATTTTAATTTGAATGCAGAAATGGTTGAGTGCATGAAGACAGTAGCAAAGCTTGACGTTGAGTTAACTGTGGAAGAGAGGAACCTTCTGTCGGTGGGATATAAAAATGTCATTGGTGCACGGAGAGCCTCTTGGCGTATTATGTCTTCAATTGAACAAAAAGAGGAGTCTAAGGGAAACGAGAACAACGTGAAAGTGATCAAGAGTTATTGCCAAAAGGTTGAGGAGGAACTATCCAAAATTTGCAGTGACATTCTCACAATTATTGACCAACATCTCATTCCTTCTTCCACCACAGGAGAAGCTACCGTTTTCTACTATAAGATGTCAGTTCCACTTCTTGCATGCGCTTTTTCTAGTGTCATTTTTTTGCTGCTTCTCTATTTGATTTCCATAAGCTTGTTTGCTTAGGAAAGGTGACTATTTTCGATATCTTGCTGAGTTCAAATCCGATCAAGATAGGAAGGAGGCAGCTGAGCAGTCACTCAAGGCTTATGAGGTTGGTATATATATGATATGATATGATATTTCACCTCTATACGCAGTGCCGTTGTTTTAATGTGCAAAAATATTTATATAATTGTTAGGCTGCTTCAGCCACTGCAAGCACGGATCTTCCATCAACACATCCAATCCGTCTTGGTCTTGCACTCAACTTCTCTGTCTTCTACTATGAGATTATGAACTCTCCTGAAAGGCAAGTTACTTATACTCTTTATACACACTTAGGCTTTGGTACTGTGTTTCACTCATGACTTCATACAGGGCCTGTCATTTGGCTAAACAAGCTTTCGATGAGGCAATTGCGGATTTAGATACCTTGAGTGAAGAGTCATACAAGGACAGTACTTTGATCATGCAGTTGTTGAGAGACAACCTTACTCTTTGGACCTCCGATTTACCCGAGGATGGAGGTAACATCATGATTGAGATTTAATATGCATTTATCCTGTGCCTGCTACCATTGTTTTCAGCATCTCCAAATGAAAAAATATCTTGTTAATTTTGATGAATTAGATATTATGCTAAAGTGCTCAAAGTTTATGTAGCTTCATATAGAATCCACCAAAATTCAGTTATGTAACTATATATTGTTGTGTTCAAAATGAATGCTCTTATGCAGGTGATGAATTCAAATCAGAAGATGCCAAACTCATTGAACCTGAGGTATGTGTATGATTCATGATTAGATTCGTCATTACTAATTTTGTTTCTGTTTACGATATTTATTTTATTTTTATTTGTAATCACAGCACTGATAAAGCAAGTTGATCTTGAATGCACCTAATGGCCCTGCTGCAAAGAGAGCATTTTTCAGCTTATCTTGCAGTTCATTTCGAACCGTACTTCATAGTTAATGTGTTCACCTTACATGCAACAAATGCTATATAGTTCGATGTGTGGCTCTTCTCTTTTATAATTATCGATTTTTTTTTCCTATTGTTTTGATATATTTCAAATTAAGTAGTCATTTGAAGTAATGAGTGATAATTTACAAATACTTAAATGTATCTCTTTTCTTTGTTGATTAATTTGAAACGTTTATCCAAATTGTTTTAGACATATGTTTTATGGGTGGCGTCTAAAATAATCATCAACTAAATAGTTTACCAGTAATAATAAACAAAACCCAACAAAAGTGTATCTTGCATCTATGTTCAAAAACATATCTCTATCAGTGCTACCTTGCTTTTCTTTACTATACAAAGTTATTCTTTGTTCACATATTGATGTACCTGGAGTTCCATAAAAGGCACTCTTTTTCTTAAATTTTTTTGGAGAATATTAGAATCTGAAGTTTGCTTCGAATGTGTCAAAAAAACTCCTTTTACATGGACTTTTTCTTTTTACCAGCTGCATTGGCTTCTATTTTGATAAATTTTGTTAGTTCATAGTTTTTTTTTTTTTTACGGATATAGAAAAGAGTCTAATTGAATTGTTGAACCGAATCAAATTGAAGATAAAATAAATTAAATGTTATGTTTAGTTACTGAATTGAATCATGTTGTACAAATAATTCTAAAACCGAATCAAATGTCAAATGAACGGATCTGAAACTGAAAAATAAAATTAAAAATTTTCATTAAAAAAATTTCAAAAATGGTGTAACGGTTTAATTATTTAACAAATGGTTCGATTTAAAAAAATGATTTTCTAATGGTTTGATGCGGTTCGAAATTTAGTTCGATTCTAAAAAAATGAAACAGTTTGATTCAATTTTAATGACTTTTTACTATGGTTTGGTTTAGTTTGTTTTCTAACTATGAATCCCTCTAAATATAGTGACGCCAGACCAAATTCAGTATGATAATGGTAAAGATTGTTTAGAATTGTGTATGAAAATGTTTAGCTATTCTTTTATTTGGACAAATTTGAACCATTCTTTAAATCGTTAAATGATGTATTTGCTACACTTCATCGTTGAGGCATATAGTTGTTGCTTCAATTTATACGTGACTATATGCCCCACTGTTTTTTATTATAATTCGTTTTGAAAAAAATATTTATTTGTTTTGGGCCAGCCAAAGGTCTAGCATGAAGACTCAATCATGCACAAGCTCAATAGAGACAATCCAAGGTATAAAGTCATCACACGTAAGATTCAAGGTACATTTTTCTAATCTCTACTTTTTACTATACTCATCTTGGACTCTATAATTGACTTGCGCATTGCAGTGCTAACATTGCAGATCCACCCCGTGCCACTGCACTGGAGATCAACATCACTACTTCCAGAGTCATATATCGTCAATCAACATCAATTTTGGCTCTGATACAGAATTGTGGCGCAATATGTGGAAAAGACATCTAATTCCAGCGAAATTCCATGATCAAACTCCACAAAAAATCATTCTTGATCTAAAGCTAAATCTCTATAGTCACCAGAGTAAGATAGAAAGGATAACTTCCAGCGTTACATCGAAGAGCTCTCCTGAGTTTTTTGATCTTGCACCAGATTCATTTTTTGTCATCGATGAGATCCGCACGAAAGCAATGTTTACCAAAGATATTCCACCAGAGAACTTCATCTAAGAAACGATTGATACTAGGACACAGAGGAAAAATAGACTGATGCTAATATATCAAGATCGCGAGAAGGTAATTTACATTGACATTGCATGGGGTTGCCTTCAATATAACGATCATCATGATAAATCACAAGGTAGCAGAAACCTTCGTAGACGATGAAAGATTGTGTAAAGTCCTTGACACCGATACACGCAAGTAACTAGGGACCCATCAACTAGATCTGAGTCCAAGTAGAGGTAGAGATATATTAGCCTTCGACGATTTGGAAGTTCGTTAATGCAAATGACATATCTGAAACTATCAATTGGCGAAGGAGAAAGTGAAAAAAAGGTAACCCTTAATTTCCTAGTAGTTTCGTCTAAGAGTGCCTTCTATGGCATCCTTGGCGGATTCTTTATGGAAACTGTGATACGGTGGGAGAACTGACTTGAGGTTTTGCGTTTGTGTTCGCAAATGTTGCGGTTTAGCAAGAGTCGCCACCGACTTTTATTTTATCCAAAAGGAAAGGTCAAAAAGCACAGGAAAGACCTTTGAGATTGTTTTTGAGTTCGGGGGATAGATTATGAAAAGGGAAGGTGCTAGCACCATTTTCATCCATGGTTTTCTATGGGCTCTTAGTTACTTGTTTTAGATCACTTGCTTTGCTTTGACAATTGTTTGAAATGGTGCTTTGTGTGGTTTTGAAAGTATTTTGAAAAGAGGCCATCGTTTAGGCAATCTTTGTAATGATTCTCGTTCGTAAGAATTTATACAAAGATGTTTGTCTTTTGAAAAATGTTTCAATATTTTGAAAGTTGTTTGGAAATTGTTTTGAAATGTGTGTGTGTGTTTGAAAATAGCAAAGATTGTTTGCAAATTTGATCAAGTAACTAGAAGCATCTACCTACTCAAAAGTCTTTCTTGTACATTTTTATTTCTTTGACATTGTTAACCTACCATTGTTTTGGTAGATAACCCTATCTTTGGATGTTAAACGGGACGGACGTGGGTCATCGTATGACCATGATAGAAATGGTGCCAAGTATCTTAGCTTGTTTGAAGGACCAAGATCATTTGTTTTTAGGCAACCTTTTGATAGCGTCATCGAGAGACTATGATCTTTTGTTTTGTATTGTTTGCCAAGATACCTAGCATGCATATCATGGCCATGTTTTAAAGCAACCAAGTGGGTGAAACCCTAGAGATGCTTGTGTGTAATGTGTTGTCATTTTTCATGCATCTTTGTCTTGAATTAGGTCATGCTATTTGTTTGATTTTGTCTTATCATACAAACCCTAGTTTTTACTAAACATGCATATAATGCGATAAATTGCGTAAAGTAAATCTAAGCTATTACAAAAATATTATGGGAGGGGGGATACAAGTTTTTGAATGGGGATATTTGCACAAAATAAAATCCTAATTCACTATTACAATCCAATTGAATTTATTGTACAATAAATAAATAAATAAATATTTAAATATGCAATTAAATGTATGGATGCAAAATATTTTTTTGTAATTGTTTTATGTATGAGAAAATAAAACTATCTAAGTCCTAAAAATAAGAAAAAATAATAATATTATTTTTAAAAGGGGAAACCCTAATTTTGTTTTAAAAGAAAATATTGTTTTCTAATATTTATTTATTCATTTTTGTTCAAGAAAAATAATAATAATGTTATGTATAAATATTAAAAATTAAATATGTATGAAAAATAAATATTTAATGTATATAAAATATAAAACAAAAAATATTAAGTAATTTTTTATTATTTACAAGTTTATTTAAGAAAATAAATTATATTAACCTAATAACTTATTTTTATGCCAAAAAAATAATAAAAATAATAAAATAAAATGCAAAAAATTAAGAAAATATTTTTGGGATTTTTAATGTTCAGAAAAAAAATAATAAAGTCAATAATCACAAAAGAAAATAAAAAAAAATGCAAAATATAAAAAATGGGCAAAGGGGGTGCAAAAAGTAGGACAAACAGGTCCAAGGCGCGCCAGGCCCAGAACCTGTCGTCCCTGTCCTCCAGCCAAACAAACGTGCGCGCTTCTGCCTTCAAATCCTATTCTTGCTCATTCTTGCATAAAATCAAAAATTCATACCACAAAAAAGGTAGCTCATGAACTCACGATTCCAATGATATAAAGAACATGACCTAACTCTAAAAAGACCAAGGAGAATTTTAATGGCCCTAATTTATGACCTAGTTTTTTCATGAACTTTGTTGTACCCCAAAATTTGCCCTCCCATTTTCCTCAACATTTTCTCATCACAAGACCTTTGAAGATCAAGACCCAGTTAGGGTTTCCTCTGCTCAAGACTTCTCCTTGCACTGTGGACTCAAATTAGGGTTTGTGTTTGCCCAAGGATGTTTTGACCTAAAATGCCTAAGATGACTTTCATGCTTCATATTGGACTCCCAAGTTTACCTATACCAAGTTTCAAGTCTTGATTCCAAGTTTTGCCCAGTCAATTGGACAGTTGACCTAAAAATCAACTGTATTGGGGAAAAAGTCAACTGTGGCCAATTGACAGTCAAACCTCATGAAATTTGATCCACATCAACATTATGAACTCATATGGACCATTTGATCAAGTTTGGATCACAATTCTCCAAGAAATTTGATCAGATCACCAAAGGGGCAAAATGGTCATTTTTAGGGTTTTGACTGCACAAAGGCAATTTTTGACTGTTTGACCTAGCCAATGGAAAACCAAGCTCACATATAGCCTCAAGGGCTCAATGAAGTGGTCTTGACACATTCATCAAGCTCAAAAGATCCCAAGTACACAAGGTTGACAGTTGAATTTCCCAGTCAATTGATCAATTTTGACTGTATACTAAAAAGTCAAACTTTGATTTTTTGGTCAAAATCAAGAGTCAAGATTCATTTTTCATCAAAACATGCCAAATCATGAAACTTGTTCACCAAGAAATCACAAAATGCAAATTAGGGTTTGAAAATGGAATTTTTCATAACTTAGAATTTTTCTAAGTTATGAAAAACCCTAATTTTTTCCCAACTTTGCCCCACCTTTTCACCAAGATCCATTTGGATTCAAACAAAAGTCAAAACATGAAAGTTGTAGCTTGTTGCATAATCTACAACTTTGATTCACAAAGTTTTCTCATTTGAAGCTTTTATCTCAAGTTACAATTTTTTGAATAAGGGCACTAAACCATTTTTAACTTGTGAAATTTTAACCTATTTTGACAAGGTTTTCTACCCCACT